TATGAAACACTTGTTCCAGCATTAAATAATAAAATAACTCCTGACACAAGAATGGGAACCATCACCGTTAAGCCAGTCTGTTTACTCTGAATTGATCCTGTTTTGGCTGCGGCTCATACGTTCGTGACGGGGCACTCTTTGTTTCCTGGAGCACACAGGGCTCTGTGTCTCCTGTCCTGGCCACAGTGCAGGTCCGCTGGCTCCGCACAAGCCTCGCTGGGTTGGGTTTGCCAGAGTGAGGCTGAGGTGGGAAAACGGGGGAGCCACGGGGTCACCTTCACTCTTGGATTCGTGGGCCCAGCTGTCCCCTCACTTTTCTCAGACTCAGGCTTTGCTCTGAAACTCTGGTCTACAGTGTAGGTGAGAAAAAGAATGCCATTTGGAGAGGGAAGTAAGAATTGTCTTTTCTGTCTCTGAGTATGATTTAACCATTTACTGGTGGTTTTGCTTTACTTGCATTTTCATGTTGAATTTATGACTTGTCTGTAACTCTTTCTTTGTAAACAGAACACATGACAACTTTATTTCTACTGCTGGAATTTAAAGTCTTATGAAACTTTTTTAAGGATAACAAATTACACTTTTTGTAAGTGGAAAGTACTTCAAAGGATCACTTTAATTTTCTCCTCACTGGGATTACCAGTGATTTTTTTCATTTACTTTTCTGTTATACCTTCTTATTACTAAAATGAAAAGGGAGCCCCGGCCGGTGAGGCCCAGTTGGTTGGGCATCATCCCACAAACTGAAAGGTTGCAGGTTCAATACCCCATCAGGTCGCATGCCTGGGTTGCTGATTCGGTCCCCAGTTGGGGCATGTATGGAAGGCAGTTGATCAGTGTTTCTCTCCCTTTTTCTCCACCCCCCCCCAAAGTAAAAAAATAAATGAAAATGAAGTTAATAAATTATTATTTTTAGTATTCAAGCATGGAAAATATACTCTTTGGAATTTTATATGGAGAATAATCAAGTGTAGATCCTGCCTTCTAGTAGCTACTTTTCAAGGAACAAAATTCTGTAAATGTGTCATGGGTGGGGATGAGCTGTACTTCTCATTGATGATGATCTTTTAGCTCCAGGCTGAGAAAATACTAATTAACTGGCTGTAAACCATAGGTTGTTCCTTGTAGGATGATAGATGTCAAATGAAACCTTGTTTAGGGATGTGACATGGAGCAGTGGGTCCTCTGTAGTAGCCTTTCCACCCCAAATTTCCAAAGTTTTATGCTGAAGACTGTGTTTGTTACAGATTCAAGGTGAGGAGAGGGGAGGTGTAGCCAATTGATCTTTCAGCCTGAACTGATGCAAAGTGAAGGAGGAACCAGGTGATACTGTGGCAGTGGGTGTAGGTCAACCTTGGACAGAAACCAGAGAGGCATTCTAGTGGGTGGAATTGTGTGAGAACCCAGCCAGCTTCTGTCTAATTTCAATCCATTATCTATTATCTACCTGTATCTTACTTACCTATCTATATCTACCTATTGTTTACCTATCACTATCTATATGCCATCTATTAATCATCTGTTCTTTGTATCAGTCATCTACTATTTACCTATCATCTCACTATAGCTATCATCTATCTCTCTTATTTATCTGTATTGTATTAGCACAAAAACCTCATAGGCTGCTTCGGAACAATGGGCATAAATGCCTTTACTAGAAAGTTTGCTTCCATAATTTGCAGTGAGTCTGTCTGAGGATCTGTTGGATCTCTGACTACCAGATGCTAAAGTGGTTCCAGACTTAAAAATGCCTGCACTTTCTCCCTGAGAAAGACAGTGTGTAGCAAGGATGTTTAGCGCTGATGCTTAGGGACCTGAGTGAACCTGGCCCCTTGTCACAGGTGCTGGATCCTTCTGGGCAACACACAAGTTAAGCTGTTGGTTGTATTACACACTTTAATAATGGAATTGTTATTGATTTTCCACTCTGTCCTTTACCTCATGGTCACTAAGCAGTTAAACAATCACCCTGTGTCCACCGTGATTACAAATGCAACCTCGGTCCAGTCATTTATTTGAAGTCACTCTGACACTTGTGTCTGCTGCTCACTTGTATGACTGAACCCTTCAACATGCAGTCCTGATTTGTGAAACACCAGGGGTCAGGACTTGGCCTGGAGGACACTGACCCATAAAGGCATCACAACCTGGTTTTGAGGATGAGAGCCACTCGCTTATTGTTGAAACCAAAACAAACCATTGGTGGTCACCAAGCCTCATGGGGAGAGCAGCACCGTGACTTGCGCAAAATTCTGTGCAGCAGGAGCCCTCACGTTGGGGTGTTGCAGAGCTGGGCCAGGCTTTGGAGGGTGATGGCAGGCAGTGGGTGCAAGGTGGTCCCTGAGAGGAGGATGTCCTGGGTGGCTGGGGCTGGGCAGGACATCCAGAGAATGCTGACTGACCACATTGGTGTTAGTCCAAGTGGCAGATTCTGAGTGTGATTTCAATGGGGAAAGTATTAGATTTGGACAAGATTTGTTTTCTTTTTAGATCTAGAGCTCTGAGCCAGAAACAGAAGTACTGTTGTGCCTCAGTTTCTTTCCTTAATTTCAGTTGTTACAAGAATTAAAAGAGGTTATTTAGGACCTGTAGGACAGGACCACACTGACACCTTCCCTTTTAAGAGGGGTCATGGATTCTTGGGGAAAGTGCTTATTTTCCTTTATGCTTAAGGTCTTAAAAATTGGAGTTTTTCAAAGTAAGAATTTAAAGACAGAGTAAAGTGTATTTCCTGTGAACCCTGCTTATACTTAAATGTTCATCCGAGTGCTTTTTAAACCTCGAGCGGAGTTTTGGGTATACCAGCAAAGATGCTGTGAGTTGCCAAGTGTTGAACAGCCAGCCAGTGGCCCTGGCTGGGAATGGGCACCCTGGTAAACAAGTAGTACACAGGGAGCTTCTTGGGAAGCCAGTATGTGCTAGTTGATGGTGGTGACTCCTCTGATACTCTCGCTCCCATGTTCCTTTTCCTGGCCCTTGCTTTTGTTTCATCCAGGTGTCCCCTGGGTTGCAATAGCTGGCTGGTTTTGAATTTGTCAAATGCTGAGCTGAAGCCAAAGTGGATTAAGGGAGAGTACAATTAGCGTGGAAACTAGCTTCCTGATAGTTTCGTTCTGTCCGAAGACTGGTCTGGGAAAACACGTGGTGAAGGACAGTGGAAATGTTCGGGAGGAGGGGGCAGCTGCCTGCTCAGGGGTCCCCCGGGGGCTGAGAGGATGGACGCCCTGGGAGGCTGTTCCTGCTTTGCTGTCAAAGAGCAGAAAGTGCCTCTTTCGGCAGGTTATTTTATCATGTTTTCTCAAAAGCAGATGTTTTGCTCTTTCTTGCAACATTACACAAAGAGCAGTTAGCTAGAGCAGCGATTTTCAACTTTTTTCATCTCATGGCACACATAAACTAATTACTAAAATTCTGTGGCACACCAAAAATATATATTTGCTGATCTGACCAAAAAGATAGGTATAATTTTGATTCAGTGACACCAACAACTATTGTTATGTTGGCTATTGTCATTTTTTTTAAATTTGATGATCCAAGGGAAAACAGGTCAGGGCCCTGACTAAATAGTCAGGTATTGTCTGCTTTAAAAATTCTTGTGGCACGCTGGTTGGAAATTGCTGGGTTAGAGAGAAGTGTGAAGCGGGAGGGTAAGGTGTGAGAGCCACTTCTCCACCCCCATCTCCATGTACTCGCTCACTGCCTCGTCCTGATCAACCACAAAGCAATTCCAGAGTGTGCACATGCACGTGGGTGTTGAGGATGCTGAAATTTTGGATATTTTTTAAAAACTGAAATATTTGATGGGGTCTTTCCAAAGAGGACCGACCAGCCCCACCACTGAGCGGTGAGCGGGCACAGGTGCAGAGCCTGGCAGATCTTGGATGAGGGTCACGTGTCATGTTCGTCTGATCAGCCAACCTACAGTGGCCACTCGCATAGGTGTGGCATCAAAAATGCTCATCAGCTGAGAACAGGATGCATTTTCTGTATCTTTCTGTTATTTATGGCCCTGTGTTTAAAAATGAGTCGTGTGTTTCGTGGGGTGGACAAGACTCTACAGTGAGCTGTGAGTTATGTGTCAAACATTAAACACTGAGGGCATTTTGTGGTCTGATTGGGTTTGGTGAGCATATCTCACTAGAGAAAGCAAATTCACCACTTTGTGTGTGGCTCATAATAACTTGTCCTTTGCCTACTGTGTTATTATTCATGCTCAAGTTTTTGGCTCTTCAGGTTGTGATGGTTTGATCCTAATATTAGGAAAAATTAGCAGATTCTAAAAATTTCAAGGGAAAAATCAGTATTTTTGTGTGCAATAGCACTTATACTTGGAAAGGCTATTGTGTGCCACAAAGGTTATTCTGTCCCATGTCCTCAGCACTTAGAAGAATGTCAGCGTGGTGCTGAGGGCTCCTGCTCTGCTGTATGTGAAACTCTGGCTATCACATTTTAATTCTCATCTTACTGATAAGTATATTTTTCACGTATTTTGGATTTCCATAGGTCCCATGTTCTTTAACTTTGTCTTATTTAATGTTCCATTAGGTCTAATCACTTATTTTCAAAAATATCCTAGCAGTTTCAAGTCCTCGGGACTGATGCTGATTAGAAAAAAATCTCATTAATGGAAGAAGGTGATAGTCAGTGGTGGCCTTGGGCAGCTGTCACTGGTGCGGACCTGCACGATCTGTGGTTGGTTAGGTTAATGAGAGCCATGCGGACTGGGGAGGTTTCCTGCACTGGCAGATATAAGATTGCAAGAATCTAATTCTGGGCCCCATCAGAGCCAAAATCTTAAGAGGAGGGCTGGGCAAGCATTTTTGTTTGTTTGAAGGCAAAGGGAAAAAGTCAAGGCAAATGACTAAAGTGTTTTCTTCTTAAAATATTCATCATGAGGCACACAGAAAACACAGTTGTGCCTGCATGTCTTCTTAGACTGTGTTGCGTGATCAGCTCTACCTCTGGGGACCATTCTGAACCTTTCTTTCCTTCTCTTATAGGTGACATCACACAAAAAGGATATGAAAAGAAGAGGTCGAAATTAATTGGTGCCTACCTGCCCCAACCTCCAAGTACGTAAACTTTGATGATGTGTCATCCAGTTTAAAGAGTTAACTGCAACATGCAAGAGAAGGACATGAGCGCAGATCCTTCTTTAGTCGCTGATTTGCACGAAGATCATGCTCCTGACGTGGCACTCGTCACATTTTATTTTTCTCTAGGACTGCATGTGTGTTTCATGAATATAGAATACGCGCAGGATATTGTTACAAGTGTGCCTAATATATTTAATAAGTATTTCACCTATAGGGGCAGTAATATGGTTGATTACTTCAAAATGCTTATAGTTTAAATTAAGCCAACTGAAGTCATTGGGGGTCAGGACAAATCTAGAAACCTAGAAAATGATATAATATCCTGCCTGGGATTATGAAACCATAAAGGGTGGTTTTGCTTTGAAATGTGATTACAAAACATTATGGATTCTTCTAAAAGTACAAAATCTGTTTCACTCGATGTCCAGGTTTGTAGAATCTCTTTGCACTTGAGCCAGGTTCTGTCCATTTCAAGAAACAGAAAATGATGCCAGGCTGAAGCTCTCACACTTGAGTCCTAATGAAGCTCGGTTTGGTTTGAGGGTGACCTTGAGGTGGCTAAGCTTTGGGAATGACATAAAGCTAATGCAGGTAATGCTGTATTCAAGGAAGAAAGGTGCTGCCTGACCTCTACAGTTTTCACTGTTAAAACAAGGTTTTACAGCGGCCCAGATACTTCTGCTGGAGAAGAGTTAACAGGTGCGTTTCATGGACGGATCCGCAGCTCTGTGCCTCCTGATCTCCAGGCTGTGACACCCCCACAAATGCTCCGCTAGCATGATTAGGAGCATTTCCTGAAGCTTGTATTGCAGGAAACTTAATTCGTGTGTTTAGTTTCTGCTGTGATTGTATCTTTGTTTTGATTTTGTGTGTTTTCTTTCTTTCCTTGATTCTTTTTTCCTTTTTATTGAATTTATTGGGATGACTGGTTAACAAAATTGCAGGTGTCAGGTGCACAGTTGCAAAAGACGTTGTCTGTACACTGTGCTGTGTGTTCACCTCCCCAAGTCATGTCTCTGCCCATCACCACATGTCCCCGCTATCCTCCACTCTTTCTGTGGTTCTTAAGAGAGTTAACATGAAGATGGACCTGTTGTATAGCCTGATTTAGCCGATAGGCTTGATTTCCTGTTTTCTGGCTTTTAAAAGGAAGAAGCCCTGTTCTATCCCAGTAGATTAAAAAAATAGGTTTTTGGTTGGCTGATGCCCACATATGAAAGGCTTTAGGAGTATGTGTGGGCAGATGAGTAGACGGTGGCCTCCCCCTTTCTCCTTTCTCTTGTCCTCTAGCAGTACTGCCTGGTGATGACCTGTGGCCCATTATTGTGAGTCCCTTTCCATAGGCGGCCTCTCCCCATCTTGGAGGAAGGCTGGCAGGCTGACTGTAGGCTTTTGACATTGTTGGGTTCTCATTTCTGTGCCTTACCAAACAAGAGTGAAACAGAAGCAGTTCCCAGAAGATGGTTCTCCAGCCGTGGTGCCAAGAGCATGGCTGACTGTGTGGGCTGGGCGCTCTGGGTGGCACCCGTGTTGCGTGGTCCCTTTGCATGGGGTCGGCAGCTCTGCTCAGCGCTGTAACAAATTAAAAAAAAACTAAAGTTGGAATTAATTAGTTTTTTTTCGACTTGTTACAGCAGCGAACGGAGCTGCGGTGGCCCGGTGTAGACTGCAGCACAGTGAAGGCGCCCCGAGGAGAACGCCACACTCCGGCCACATCGGGGTGTGTGACATCAGAGAAGCCGCTGGCAGGGAGCGGGTGGCCAGCACCGCGGGAAACCGGCCTCTGTTTTACTTTCGTTTCGGTGAGCGCACTTTTCTGAGAAAGAGAGAGACTTCATGGCAGGGAAACATTTGAGATGGCCATCACCCAGCGCCATTGTAAACGGAATTGCAGGGCTTAGCTTTGGGGGTACACTAAGGGGCCTCTGTCTGAACCCACATTCTCCAGATGAGGTCACAGGAGTTTTTGGTGGCCACGGTGCTCCTTGGTCACAGAATTATCAGACTCCAAAACCACGACCATCCATTCCACTGACTCAGGGCCAGTTCTGAGAGTGTTCTATTAGAATAGAATATGCTGTTTCAACAACCCTATGGTCCCAGTTCGACACTTGAGAAAGAAGAATGCGTGTTAAATTCCTATTCTTTCTACAGTCATTGGTCTTCTGCCAACCTTTGTCTTATAGCCAAACACCTCAGCGAAGGAAGAACTAGTAGGTCCTGGCCTCTGAGATCTACTGAAGGGAGTGAGAGCTACAGCCTTCACACTCCTGTCCCCAACGGACAGTGTTAAAAAATGAAACTGTTTACTTGCAGAGTATATTCTTAGAGGTCATGATCCTCAGAGGTGAAAATTATTAGTGCATAATATTTTGAATACAAGAAGCCCAAAAAGGTGAGTTCAATGAACCTTTTAGTAGAATAAGAAAATAAGGATTTGTGTTTGGCTTCAAATAAAAGGCTTTGTTCAAACATCATATACAAATAATAAAGAGAGAAAATTTAATGTTGTAATCGGCCCCCAGGATCTCTGAAGTGGCACCCAGCCTGGTCACCCCACTGCGGTTTCTTTGGGTCCCCTCTGAGCCACTTGCTGACAGATACAATAAATGTGCTTGTGGGGAGGATGGAAAGTTGGTGAGTGGGCGGCACAGTCAAGTGTTAGCTGAGAGGCTCTTTCACAATTACGCGAGTCTCACCCACCTGACTGAATTGCGAGGAAGAGAGAGCCTGCATGGGGCCGCTGCTCAGCGGGCCTTGGGGGCCACCCCGTTCCCACTGGGAAGGAGAGGACTGGTTCGGGATTTCAGGACTGGTAACTGGAGGCCCAGAGAGTTTTGCATTTTTACTGATAATCTTTGTTTTTGAGAAATTCCCCTGGGTGGACACTCTCACACAAAACTTTGTCTCTGGGAAGCAGTGAGGAGAGCATGTGATTCTGAATCAGGGAATTCTTTCAAGCTCAGTCTTAGAAATAATTCTTTTGCTTTAGGATCTTTGCAAAATGTCATGTTTTCTGTTTCAGTTGCCCTTATTCTGTTATACACTTTCCTAGAAGAGGTTTATGTTAACTTTTCTTTTTTCTTTTACATAATTTTTATTTATTGGAGAAAATTCTAAGACTTCTCCAAAATATATTCTAAAACTATCTCCACATTGTTTTTTGGGACACATGATTATGAATAGCTTGTTCAGGCGAGTTCAGCAAAAATCAGTAGCTCAGATTGGAGCTGCCAAGCCCGTTTCAGGGAAGGTGTTCGGGGAGCAGGTAGTTTCATGGTTTTCTGCTCAGAAGTGAGTGACTGTCACAGAATATCTTGTGTGACTTGGGCTGTCCTGGAAGACACAGTGCATCAGTGAGCATGATATTGAATGCTTACCTAAATCTAGATGAGAAAAGTTATGCCAAAATCTGGAAAGAAAAATGAAAAGTGTGTGTGTGTGTGTGTGTTTATAGAATTTATTTTATTTATTTTATATGTATAATTTTATACACACACATACACACAAATATGGAAAGGGTCAGAAAGAATATATTGGAAATCATTTTCAAAAAGATGATATGATTTAGGCCCTGACTGACGTGGCTCAGCAGCTTGGACGTCACTCCTCAAACCAAAAGGACGGTGATACAGTTCCCAGTCAGGGCACATGCCTAGGTTGTGGGCCAGGTCCCCAGTTGGGGACGTGTGAGAGACAACGAATTTATGATTCCCTCACATATCCATGTTTCTCTCCCTCACTTTCTCCCTCCCTTTCCCTCTCTCTAAGAATAAATAAATAAAATATTTTAAAGTAAGAGAATAAAATATTTAGGACAACTCACTTTTGGTATGAGTTCTCTTACAGTTTTTGGCTATGTAGTATCTTTTTCAAAATCATCTTTTATTCTCTAAATCTGATACAACTTGTGAACACAGAAATTAAAATTTCTTTTCAGGAATATCTTCACACAGTGACAAATTTTACAATTGAGTCTTCACTGTTTTCAGGACAGAGCCCTGGTATGAAGTAGTAAAATTCCACTCTTACCATAAACAGTGAAACTTTTCTTGCCCAGACATGATCCCCCCCTTCTTATAGCATGTGTATTAGCTAGATTCAGCTTTCTACATGATTGTCCATCAAATGCTCCTCAGTGGTGAGAGATTTATGTAGATTTAGTCTTCCTTAGGCCCAGCTTGAGGTTATTTCAACAGCCAGACGGCTTTGTCCCTAGTTGCAGGGATTTGCCATGACCAAGTAGTTGTGGCAGTGTTGGCGACTTGGGTAAGGTGATGGGAGGGCAAGTCTGTCTCTGTCCTTCCTATCCCCTGGGAGCTGGCTGTGGGGAGCTGATCCCCGGGAGCAGCCTTAGAGAAGGGAGAGCCTGGTCAGGGTAAATTTTTCTGCCTTTGTTTCCGCTGGAGATGACAGATGGCCCTGTGTGGAGTTGAAGCTCAAGTGTGTCAGAGGGCCTTGCACACGGCAGCCTGGCCTTTTCTCAGCTCTTTGAACCTTCATGCTCCTCTGATGTTCATTTGTGCCATTCTGCACATGCTGCGCCCTCCACTAGCACCTGCATCGTTTAACTCTCAGTTCAAGTGTTGCTTCTACACAGATTCCTTCATGGTCCCTCAGGTTAGGACAGGCCTTCCAGTCCCAATCTTCATGACATCTCACTTCTGAAATACTTACAGTACTGTAGGCGAATGGTTGTGCCTGAATATTTAGTGATTACACCCCATCCCATCCCACAGTCGGTCCCTCATCTCCTTTCCACAGCAGTGGGCATTCAGCAGGCATTTGTTGAAGGATGAACTGGGCAGATGAACCTGGAACTATGTCTGCACCTGGCAGAGCAGCTGGCAGAGCCCCGGCCCCCCTGTACAACTGTGGGTAGTGGGAGTTACTGCCTGAGCAATCCCCTTGCAGTGTGTCCCCCAGTGAGTAGCGAGGCAAGTGTGCTTACCTGACTGAGGGAACAGGGGAGCACAGAGAGCTGGCCCAAGGGGCGGATGCCAAGTGTTAGTCTGGCCATGCCCCAAATACATCAGCAAATGGACCTTTACTGCCTCAGGCAGCTCTTCTCTGAAACCACTGTTGTATTTTGATTTCTCATTTGGATCACTTTAAGTGGCAAATGGTACATCAAGTGCTGATCACTGTTTCTGTATGTGGACAGTTAAAGGATAATATGGTTTGGACCTCTGCACATTCAATCAGCTGAATTTTATTTTCTTAACTAAGTTTGGAGTTCAGCTTGAGAAATCCTGGTGTTCAGTGCTGTTACTGGGGATCCCCGGGGCTCTGTAATCCTGTTCCTATGGGGGGACCTCAGGAAGCCGCCTCCAATCCTCGCCACAGGTTCTCTGGCTAGGGGGTGAAGAGGAAGTGGCCTGTCAGCGGCAAATTCAGTGTTTGTGAATTTGCACTTTGGTCTCATATGACACGAAGAACTTTGTCACCTTGGGTTTAAGGGTATAAACCTGAGATACGTGCCGTTGTGGTGTTTTTCAGGAAGTGAGGCTGGCTGCACTGCTGCCTTCCTGAGCCGTGGTCAGTCTCTCTGACTCTTCACATTAAGTTAACAGCTCTGGGCTTCCCTGGTGCTGGGCACAGTTTGGTCCCTATTTTCATTCTGCCACCAGGTCCACAATCTCCCTGGGCACGGACGTCGTATTTGCTCATCCTGACCTGGGCATCAGGGGTCACATGGCCTGTCCTGGAGGTCGGGGGGGTGTGATCCAGGAGGTACTCTGTGCCATTTTTTTCATGGTGGTTGGGATGTAGGAGACAAGGTTAAGTTCCAGAACAGGAGAAATGCAAGTATTTAAATTGGTGTTGCTTGTCTGTGGCTTAGCATGAATTTTTCCCATATTGAATTCCAACTGGAAATGAACCATCAGCAAAAAGTAAATACCTGTGTCCCCGGTACACAATGGTCATGATCTTGACTCACAATTTGCTGCTCTCAGTGGGCTACGAAGTATTCTTCTTTTATCACAGGCAGCTATGGTTCGATCATGTGAATGTCCTGTTATTTTTAGTGACATTTAACCAGTCAGGGCCCTCACCCCCAATGTCAGTAGTTAAAGGGAGCACATCTGGGCTGTTTCCGTGTGAGGCCTCTGGAGAGTTTGGGGCTAGCGACCACTGTTCAGTGAGAATGGTGCCCTCTGTGGAACTGCCTCATGCCTGTGAGCTGTAAGAAAGATGCAGAAACTTGACACCTCAGTCCTGACCACAGACACTCACTGCCTTCTAAAGGTGCCCTCCCTGCCCGACAAGCGCAGACCCAGTGTTGACAGTAGAATCAGGAACAAATGTACTCACGGCATACGGAGGGCTCTTGTCAAACTTTCTGAAGCTCCAGGTCTTCTACGTGTTTCCAAGTCATGAGTTAATGATCAAGTTAATATGTTTTAATAGAAAAGTGGTTAGCAAATTTGTACTGATTTATGGCAGAGATTTATGTTAACGAAGGACGAGATAAGAAGCAACAATGACAGTGATGAATAATTAAGCTAGTATGGTTGGGTTACAGGTTACTTATAGTGAAAGTCCTGTTTTGTAGTGTTGTCATCTGTGCTAACACAAAGCAAACATAGTGAATTCTTAATCAGCATGCACAAAAGTTATAGTGTTTACGTCTGGCAAAGTGTTTGATTTCACCTGGTTTAGAAGTAAGTGCCGCTGAGGAAGAGTATAATCAGGTACTAAGAATGGGACAGTTTAGAAATCATTTTTTAAAAGATTTATTTATTTTTAGAGAGGGAAGGGAGAGAGAAAGAGAGAGAGAGAGAAACATCAATGTGCAGTT